GACCATAAGCCGATTCCCATTCTCAAAACCAGAATTCCATTTATTTTTCGAAATCTTCTTGATGTAGTATTTTGCTTGCATGGACATTGCCTTTGGTTTGCGTGGTGAAACATGGAAATAATTGTGTTTTGTTTGCATCACAGCCTGAATGTGCGTCAGCCGCTACTGAAACCACGTTGTGGATAAGCAAAAAAGTGCAGACAATGTGTTGATCGGCTTACACACATCGAAACTGAAAAAAAAGAGAGTAAACATCCGCCAGGATAACACCATCGAATAGTAAGCAAATCCGCAAGCCGAAGTGAGTGAACTCGATAAATTGAAATTTATTTGAACCACCAGGGCCAGTTTTTAGTCAAAATGTTCTAACTTTCTAACCGACATCGTCGAAAAAAACTTTGTATCGGTTTATCAACCTATATTGAGCCATGTTTGTGGTCTATTTGCTATGTGAAAATTAACACAAGCTTTTCAAATAATCTAATTTGAAACTTTTCACAGTTCCGAAACCGAATGAGCGGATGAGGAATTCCAACAACAACAGTAATAATCAATTTAATGATTGCAATAGTCGGTTGTTGGTCGTAGCTGTTTTTTTGTTGTTAGAAAAGTGTGAAACTTTCTAATTGTTTTTCAAGTGAATGAAAGTTTTTCGTTTATAATCAAAACTCATAATAATAATCATTAATTGATTGAGTTGCACAATACGTTGTCTGCAAATTAGCGGGTTATTAGCTCTGTTTACTTGGTGTGTATGTGAACTGCAGTCGATTCGCTATGACTCATTTTCGGTGAGCCCATGAATGAATTATCGTTTAGACATCGTTTTTATTGCTCCCAGACGCTTAATTTGCAATTATTTCGACGGCTTAGAATTGTGCGCTTGGGACTATTGGTGTGCCATAGAATAGCAAGTCGGATTTTATGCAATAAATAGTATTTATGATTCACTACACCGTGAATGCATAAATTTTTATGATTTTTATATCACCGACACATGACAGCCAGTTTAGAAACGCACACACCGGCAAATAGTGCACACACATACACTTTGTTTTCATTTTCGGTTAAATCGACGCATTTTGAAACACCGTCCGAAAACGGTATTGCAGCTTAACGACTGGCGGTATTTATTTACGACCGTTTGGGTGAACGTACCGACGAAATTTCATGCGTTCGGATGTTGTGGTAATCATCATATGTTTTAATCATCATAAAATAAAAACCACTAAGCACTCGCTATTATTCGACGTCTGCAAAAATGTTCGTCGCTTTTTTTTCGGTTCGAATGCCAAACAACATTATTTTCATTTATCCAAGACACAGACAGTACACGCATACATGCATCGTCGCATTCATTTTTGTAATCAATGGGGCACGGCATTGAAATTTCTACGCATTTTTCGTAATTTCTTCTCGAGTTTTTTTTTTGTTCCACCGGTTCCACCATTGGGACATGGTTTAGACAATACTGAAATACCTTCGGTAAAATACGGTTTAGAGGAACATAAATTGAGACATAACGACGATGTTTCGCGTAACACTCGATTACGTGGCTTTTGGGGCGATATGCACCAGTGCAACAATTGAACATCGCTGCCACTGTTGTCGTTGTCAGCGTCGTTCGTTCAAATTCTATTTGCTCGATAAATTCATACACACAACAAATACTGTTTAGCAACAATCATTCGCGTTTACCCGTACGGTTGGCTTTACAAATTGTTGTTGAGCCATTATTTGCTCGTCTAACAAACGTTCGTGTTGATCGATTCGTAGGCTGTGGCAAGAGAGAGCGAGCGAGAGAGAAAGAACGCCGTCAAATCGCAATAAAATATTGCACATTGTGAAAAGTGATGGGTTTCACTTTTGCCTGCCGTGTTCACTAGTCTAGAAAAGCATATATTGAGGAAATCTTGGCGATGAATTCAACCTTCGCCGTTCAATTTTCCATTTTTTTTCTTCAATTGAACATTATTCCGCTCTTCTTGTTGTTGCTGTTGTTGTAATTACAACTTGATGATTTCGCTATATCGCCACTTTGTAACAAGTGTTTCGTAGCAAAAAAAAAAACAGAAACACACGTCATGGATTTCATTCGTGAAACTTTTACATTTTTCATTTCTTGTTGACTAAAAACTTTTGAAGTGATGGCATCAAGTGGGCTGTGTTTAAAATAACATCGTTCGTTATTTTCATAAAACAGAATATTATTTCATTAAAAAGTCTGACTCACACCTTTTGCCACTAGAGACTTTTTGTTTCGGCTGGGCTTTGATTCGTCCAAAAACTTCGTAATGATGATGATTTCCGCTCGAAAAATGTCGCTTTAATAAGCACAAGAAATGCTTTTGTATGACAAAAGATGTTATCAAAATGAGAGTTGTTTTTTTTCATTCATTCGTCCGAGCAGGAGACAGACTTGACTGAATTTATGATTTAAATCAAAATGATGACTTTGAATTTATCCAAAAGACACATTCATGATACAGATCAAAATTATTCAGATTGAACTTTGGATTCGGATGGGCAAGTCAATAGAAATATATAGCGAACAATTTAGTTTGTTCTCGATATTTATACCCGTGTGTTAGACGGGCCACGCGATAGCAAATAACACGATTTTGCGTCGTTCCATGGCCGCTCAATCAAAGTTGGATACACGAGAGCGAATGACCGAAATTGAATATCTATTAAGGTTGTCATGTGTCTGTGTCTGTATGTTCACAACTAACCGATTTATTTTACATTCCGCTTAACATTGACAAATATTGACTCAACTCACAGTCTTCATGCAAATGTCGCTAACGACCTTTTCTATTGTCAATTGGCTGGATTGCTGTGTGCATTTGATACTTCCTAAATCTGTGAATTTTTGATAAATAACCAAAAAGTTATAAACTCATTTTAACATTATTATTGCGCGTTCAACGGATCCAATTTTATTTATATCTGATGCAAAATACTTTATAATTCGATTCAGATCTAAATCGGTCGTTTTCGCGTATGTTTATTCTCCGCTGACATCGTTATCGTTGTGTCCTCACAGCGCGAAAAAAAAAACCGATTCATTTCGGTGAATATTTTCGGTCGAAACCAGATTGGTTATTGTTTCTTTGTTTTGACGTACACGTGAACTCGACTCTATTGCTGCATGTCAAGACCATGAAATTGCAAGTGGATGTGCCACTTTTTTATTCAACCATAAATGCATTCTACACTATTTTGTATACAAATTGAACAAGCGAACAATTGTAATGCGAACATAATTATGATTACTCAACGTACGGAAAAAAGTCTCTGGTTTGAAGAAACAAAAACGTAGGTTTTTTTCGGTTTTATTTTTGTCTTTGCAAAGCTACAATTGTTTATGTTTATTGTGTATATTTTTTTTGTGTTCACGTCAACGATGTGTGCGACTGAAACTGATATGCACAGCAACTTGTTTGACGTGTTTCAATCAAACAACACACAAGCACACGACGACGAATGGATCGCGAACACTTGGTTGAGTGGAACGGGAAAAAAAGAGACGTAGCGAAACAGATTCAATGTTGATAAATCATATAGCAAGCATATCTTGTCGATGGGCAGCATTGACAAGAGCAACAAGTACAAAAATCTATGTTACAACAGCGACCCAGAAACCCAAAACATACTGAAGACATAACACAACTACTAGCAAAAAAAACCCACGTCACTTCGATCGCATTCACTACTGAATCGAAAGTGAAAGAAAAGTGGTGTGCGTGTGGTTCGATCGCTTTAACGGCTGCTTCGAACATACGATCTTGACTTACTCGTTCACTCGCTCGCTCGTTTGTTTGTTCGTAATCGCGAGTGGTAGGAGAATGGCCGTGTAAAATACTGGAATGGGGAAATGGAAGTAGTAGCAAACGGGCGAATAAACCGCATCTCACACCATTCAACAAATATATTTACGGGCTTTGTTTTCGTTCCATTCCATATTAATTCTTTTGATCATCGCATCAACTGGATTCAGTACGATACACCATTTCAACCAAGACACATCGTCCACTCTTCGAACTTTACGAAAGCAACCAACCGTTTTTCTTGAGAAAATAATTAAATTTTTTTCGAAGTTATTTTTTTTTTAAACACAAAGTTACCAAAGTAAGTTCCGTTCAAAGTCTAATTTCAAGTGTTTTTTTTCTGCTTTGATGATTTCAAGTGATTTTATTTCTTCAACAGTTTTGAACCGATTTAGTTCTTTGAATCATTCGTGCCAAATTTTTTTTTTCTGAATAAATATTTATATGTCGACGATTATTCACAATAAAATATTTCAACGAGCTGAAAAACGGGTTTTCTGAGGCTTTTTTCTGCCCAAAACTAAACGTACGCGAACAACAGCCTCTTGTGTTTGTGCGAATGAGAAGGCATATCGTATGTTGAGAGCCAAAGAGATACAAGTTTATGTGATTGTTTCGATGAATAATGCAATTAAATGATTCGTTGCATGACGAACGCGCGCGCACGACCCGTACGATGCAAGATTGGTTCGGAAATTACGAAATCTTACAACAGCTTGGCATTAAAATGTGAATGGTTCTCGAAGAAGCAATTGGCTGATGATTTTTTTTTTCTGCATAAATTGGGTTAAGCGAAAATAACGTAACCACATTTTCGCATTAAATTCATACACATGCCATATTTAGTTGGATCAATTTGGAGTTTGATTCAATCAAAACGCCTGATGTTTAAACCTTTTTGCACATTAAAAATGCGATGAATTAAATTGAATTTTTCGTAGACAAAAAAAAAATATCCAGTGACCTAGAGTTGTGTAAACCGAAAGAAAAACAACATTTTTTAATCTCGTTAACCTCGGATTCACTTGTATTGAAGATTATGTAAAAAAAAACTACTGTTATTGATTTTCTATTGTATTGAAACAAAAGTTAATTGACACGATTGGTCGTTTAAGGTTGCCAAAAAAAGAAGAAAAATACTCAAAACCCACATTTGTTTTTCGTTTGCAGATGAATCTCATTCAACCAACTCCTGATATGCGTGTGTTCATCCGCCAAGAGCTTCGCGAACCCGAAAACCCAGAAGACATCGAGAAAGATGTTGCTGCCATTCGTGAATGGTTGAAACTTCAACCACATTTGCCAAAAGATATGGGTGAGTGCTGACGATTGAAGTGCAAATGATAAATTTTATCTCAATTTCTTCTATTTGTGGCTTGGCTAATCGGATTTATCGTTTTTTTTTTGTCTTTGCCAAAGACGATGCTCGTCTTCGTACCTTCTTGCGTGGCTGCAAATTCAGCTTGGAAAAGGTGAAGAAGAAGTTGGACATGTACTACACTATGCGTAATGCTGTCCCTGAGTTCTTTGCCAATCGTGATGTCGATCGTCCCGAATTGGCTGAAATTTTCAAAGCTGTTCAAGGCCCCATTTTGCCCGGACTTACTCCAAACGGTCGCCGTGTGTGTGTGTTGCGAGGTGTTACCAAAGATATTGCCACTCCAAACATTGATGACTGCATGAAATTGGTGTTGATGGCTGGTGATATTCGTTTGAAGGAAGAACAAGTCGGTGTTGCCGGTGATGTGTACATTTTGGATGCTACCGTTGCTACTCCAGGACATTTCTCGAAAGTCTCACCAGCTATGGCGAAGAAGTTCTTGATTTGTGTGCAAGTAAGTTGGATTTTTTTTCTTCTGCATTTTAAATGGAAATGAATCGCGTTTTAATAGAATGATTGAAAATTTTCAAAGATTTCGATTCAAAAATCGTTTTAAAGAAATTGTTTTCTGAATTTGCACATTTTCCACTAAAATTATTCGTCACTAAACTGGTTTCGATTAATTTTCCACAGGAAGCTTATCCAGTGAAATTGAAGGAGGTGCACATCGTGAATGTATCACCACTCGTTGACACCATCATCAACTTTGTTCGTCCATTCTTGAAGGAAAAGATTCGTCAACGTATCCACTTCCACAGCAACTTGGATTCGTTGTACAAGTTTGTTCCACAAAAAATGTTGCCAAAAGAATACGGCGGTGAAGCTGGTACTATGGAAGAATTGACTGGTGAGTTTGAGTTTTTTTTTCTCTCTGAAATCAATTCATTTCATTGGCCGTTTTTTTCTTTGAATAAAAACACTAATCCCACAATTTCATTCAATGTAGAACAATGGCGCACAAAGCTCCGTGAATACACCCCATGGTTCAAGGAGCAAGAAGATAAAAAAGCCAACGAAGCATTGCGACCGGGCTCCCCGAAGACTGCTGACGATTTATTCGGTATGGATGGAACCTTCCGCAAATTGACCATCGATTAAAAATGATCCATTGCCGTCGTCACCACCAGCACAGCTGCCACTTCACACCTTGTTCTTATGGATTAGAAACGTTTTTCTTTTTATTTTATCCACACAATTGCAATTCAATCATTCGCGATCATGGTTTTTAATTAATTTTCTTCTATCATTATTATTATTATTATGGCTAAATTGTTTTAGTTCTTCTAAATGCTGTCCCCTGTCCTTCTTTCTTTCCTACATTATCTTCTGTTCTGTATTTGATTGTTAACGAGACAAAAAAAACCAAAACCAAAACCAAATTAATATTTTCCTTTCCATTTCCAAAAAAAAATTAACAACAAGAATTGCGTATGCACGTATCTTGAGAATAGTAACGAAATTAACCACCAAAAAGAGACAACCTAACAAAAAAAACAAGAAATCACATCTGCCTGTTTCTTTTCACCTTTTGTTAGTTCTATTGTAATTTATCGTTTCAAGTGATTAGGGAAAAAAAAGCAAATCACCATAAAACCACACCAAAAAAACTCACACACATACACACGAAATAAGTCACGATCAAAATGAGACTACATTTCAACTGTATTTATAGAAAACATATTGAGCTTCTTTTCTATATTAGTTCTTCTTTAGGATTTCTCTTTTTGTTTTCGTTTCGACTTAAATTGTTTAGTTTTTATTAGCGGTGATTTAATTATTTGTTAGCACAATTTGCACCACTTTCACACCAACACCACCAACAAGAAAAACAAATCGATATAAAAATATAAAATTACAAAAAAAATACTCAAAATTTTCAAACGCCTTTCGTTTTTTTGTTTCGCTTTTAAATTCTTGCTTGTTTTTTTGTTGTTTATTCTGCACCATCCACCTCACACACAACAACACACACTCTATGAAAGACCTAAATCACCTCAATTTTGCACGGACCGTATGTTGTAGAAACCAAAATTATGGCACTTGGCTTCACGGCTTCGGCGAAGTGGCATCGATGTGTAGATTTTTTGTCTTTATTTCTCCTGGGTTTAAGTGTATATATAAAGTTTGATGAAAACAGACAATGGTAACCTGCTTTATTGTGATATTTGGTATCTTTTTCGATTAGAAACAGTCACAAATGTACGCTAATACGAACGCTTCATTTGTGCTAATGAATTGAATCAGTTTTCATTTTCGGTCCGTCCAATTGTGAAACTCTTGATGAGTGAGAGAATACGAACGACACCATTTTATTGTCTTGTAAAAAAAAAATCCTCCTGAAATATTGAATAAATTGAATTTTCTTGAAACTCAACGATGAAAATGTGTTTTATTTTGCATATGTATTGCGTATTCATTGCCAAATTTTCAGCGAATTTCAGTCAAATTTTCGCTTTTTAAACTGAATCATTTGTATGAGGTCGGAACAATTTCATTTGCATAATTTGGAAAAAAAAACTTTTTGCTAGAATTTATTATGAGCCAAATATTCGAAATTTTAATAATGTAAATCAACTTAACAAACAATCAAAGCAACATAATTCAATATGGATAACCGAAGAGATACTTTATGAAATCGCGCTTTCAATTTATTTGATGAATTTAAATGCTTTTATTTTCTGGAACTTGAGCTTGATGTATCGCCATTGCTTGGACTTTCCGTTGCAGCGGCGTTGGTTGGAGCCACTTCTTGTGCATTCGTCACTTGTGAACAATCGCAATTCGTTGTAGCTATAGAAGAGTTTTGTAAATTGAACGAATCGCCACTCATTGATGGTGATGTCGGCGAACTTTCATTCGAATGGTTTGCATAATATCCACCACTATAAAAGCAAAAGAGTACGAAAATATATTAATGACGTCCGTAATATTGGATTAAGAAAGGAAGGTTTAAATTAGTGAAAAATTTTTCGTCAACAAGTCTAAAAGTCTGACTGAGCGAGAATGAAAATGAACAGCAAATCAATGGATATCCCAACATAACGGTGAAATATTTGTATACATACGGATAACCACTTCCAGGTACTGATGACGATGAACCATTGCTGTACGGTGTGATTGCAACTGGGCCATTATTACCGTTGGATCCAGTACCGTTGTTGTGAATCTCACCAAACTGTGCACCAATTTGTGGAACTGACATCGCGTCTGAAAGAAGAAAAAACAGCCCGAAACATTTAAAATTAATTGCTGTTTTGAAAATACAAATCACAACGGAACAAACCCCTAGTGACCAGGACAGTAACAGCTGCAATGAGACTGAACAGAAAAAGTGCGCCAAACATGTTTCCGCAATTATTTTTCAACTTTGTGCAGTTTTCCCCGAATGAACTTGTGTTTATATAGCAAACACCAAACAGTATATCGTTTTTTTTTCCTTCGAAGAACTGCGAAAAATTGTTCATATGGCGTGCTCCAAATCACCAAAATAGAGACAAAAAAAAATTACGGGAAAATTACATATGTGTTCATGTCGAAAATCGGCAACGATAAGGATGAGCCATGCTTAATCGTGTGTATGAATGACCTGATTTACCTTCAAGTGATTTCCGTGCAAACACACATTTTTATAAAATTCGAATAAAATCATCGCATAAAATACAAATTCCAATGCAAATTCCTATTTCGAGCTCCGTCAAACTGAAGTTCAAATTCTCATTTCGTTCGAAACAAATTTACATAGTCTATTGAAAACGTAGTAATCTTGAAGATGAATATTAAACAAAATTTCGAAGAAAAGACCTTTGTTTCAACTACTTAGTACATAACAAAGGAACGAAACACAGCGTTGAAAAAGTTTTAAAAAATTCCGACAAGAGACGAGAAAATGAGAATAAAAATGCATTTAAATGAAATCAGCTTGCTGAGATTGCAATACATTCTTTTCCATTTTACACTTATTAAGTAGCTATTTGAGCGTTACGCTCTACCGTTCGTTCTTTCTCTCCTCTCTGCACTTCGTATTTTGAGAGGGAAAATTTCTCTTTCAAGCATGGAAATCGTCAACAAATTGAATATTTGCTAAAGTCTTTTCAATCCAGCACAATGTAGTAATCTTCGTGACTTTGTTTCTATTTTTTTCATTTGCTACACTGTCTCGACGCACATGCTGACGATCAGTAAAGTACTGATTTTTCGACAAATAAAGAGACTATGTCGTCATCGTTATCGTCTTGAAGTAACGCCAACTTGAAACTATGTAGCTATGAAACATACTAACCAATCTCGATCTCAATGGTTAACGAGTCTTTGATACTGCAAACTTTGGATGCAATACTCACCCGATGGATAAGTTTCGGAGATTGCCTTTTCAATTAAAGTCAAAGTTTATTTCATTTGGAGAACTTTTTTAAGTTTTTGAAGAAGTGGAACTTTATTCGAGCAAGAAAAGTTTTAAAGATTACATATGTCATTTTCCGTGTAGTCAAGAGCCGTTTGAAGTAAATATTGACAAAAAAAAATGGTGCAGCATGTTTTATTTTCGTGAGCTTGAGCCACTTGCAGCGCTCGATGCAGCACTGGCTGCATCGGATGGATTGCCAGCACCTTCTGATGGACTGTTTGTAGCGCCCGCATCGGTTGGTGCCATTTCTTGTACGTTCTGTACATTGTTGCAGTCGCAATTGTTTGTTAGGTTTGATGTTGAATTTTGTGCTCCGCTCACTTGTGAACCGCTCATGGACGGTGAAGTGGGTGCCGTTTCATTTGAATGATTGTTGTAGTATTCGCCGCTATTGGGAATTGCATACAGAAAAATTTGTGTTTCAAAAGTAAAAACGAAATGGTTTGCGATTCAAAGCGACGAATAGACTCACCCATAGCCAGATCCAGGAATGTTTGAGGTTTGATTATTGACACCACCGCTGCTGAAAGATGTTCCATTGCCTCCTGAATAACTGAATTGCGGTGCTGACATTGCATCTGCAAGAAGAAAATCGACAAACAAACTGAACTTCTGAACTGCACGACTCAAATGAAAAAAAATCGAAGAATTAAGTCAAACCTTTGCTCACGAGCAGCACTGTAACGGCGAAGGCAAAAGCCACGGCAAACACTGCTTTGGACATTTTCACTTGTTGGTTTGATTTACTTGCAAATAGAAATCAACTTTAATTCCCAACTCAACAGCCATCGAGCTTTATATAGCAGATCCACTCCAATGAGAAATCGGATGGAATTGCGTGCGTCAATTCTTACGCTATCATCACTGTCGACGATGTGACAATAAAATTATGCTTTCATGCAGCAAATTGCTTATGATAAGCTCAATTGCGACAACTTGAGACATGACTGGTGTGATTATCGTAGCATACCTCGTTTTTTTGCTGGCAATGCAATTTAAACTCCCATGAGATAGCACAGTTCTTCACACCAGCTTCAGGTGTCATCTACGAGCAAAGAGAGCGTGAAAGCAAAAGCGATCCGTGTTGCATATTGCCTACCCTACGGCGTATACCAATGAATCGAATTATTTCAACTCGCTTCACATTGTAATAGTATTTCGATTAGCTCCGGATTCAATGTTTGCCTTTGTCTCTTCAATTCAAAATTAATAACTCTTAATAGTCGGTTCAATTTAAAGGTAATGGCTTGAATATTCAATATACCACCTAGGGCCAACTAATCAATGCACGCGCGATTTGATGCACGCTCTCTTTCTCTCTCTCTCTCTCTCTCTCTCTGATTGAAAACAGTACAAATGAACTGAAAACCACAAACGGAGATTAAATTGTGCGATGGATGAACGATGATTCATCGGCCTTCATATGATTGACTTCTGCGAATTGGCCAACATGGATTTGGTCTAATTTCATGAATGAATACGATGTATGCAACCACCTGTGGTGCTGATGGTGCGTCACATGAATGGTGCACAATCGAAGACCTTAATTAAAACGGAATTTAATCGAAATGCATTTGGTCTGGTTTCATTTTGGTGTATGTGTCAAAGGGCCTGGTTTGCATTTTCCGCTTGGAGAAACGCTGCCTGATTAGGTATCTGGTGTGTGTGCGCGTGGTGCGTCGCTGATTTATGGATGCAATAAACGTTGATAAAACCACAATTTGCTGTTGTCGTCTGCCAAATAAATAGACGCACCAATTGCCAGTGTACTTCATTGCACCCATTGAAACAGTTGCAAGTGAAACGGTTTTTGAGTTTTAATTCCAAGAATTACGTACAGTTCAATTTTGCATTGAAAGTGCACAAAGTGTTCTAGTTTTTTCTACTAAAATTGTTTTAGTCAACGCTGTGAACAAAAATGCAACTGAGAAACAACAAAGTCATGAATTTTTTCCTAATCACTTCAATTTGCCATGTTGTTTGTGGTTTACCGACGGCCGACTCCGATGACGAGAGCGATGCAATCGATTTATCGGCATTTGGATTAAAATACGGCCAGCCCGACATGAAAACCGGTGAATTGGTAAAAAATTGGCAACCCACCGATGGCGATGGCAGCAATCCCGAAGAGCTTGGATCGTATATGGAAGGTGATATTCTATTTCCAATGAATCATTCGACCAATTCACGTAACGGTATGGTATCCCAATCGTTTCGTTGGCCAAATGCGGTGATTCCATACGAAATTGTCGGTTCATTTGATCCCCGTTCGCTCAATACCATTGAGAATGCGATGAATGAGTATAAAAAGCGAACCTGCATAAATTTTCGTCGTCGAAACGCGAATGATCGGGATTACATCAGTATACAGAATGCCCAATCGGGATGTTGGTCAAGTGTAGGACGTGCTGGTGGTGCGCAAGCCTTAAATTTACAATCGCCTGCATGCACAACCAAAGTGGGAACGGTTTTACATGAATTTATGCATGCAGCTGGATTTCTTCACGAACAAAACCGTGAAGAACGTGATCAATATATTGATGTTGTCTATCCGAATATTATGCGTGGCTACGAATCAAACTTTATAAAAGCGCAGAAAGGGCAAACGTCTGGATTTGGTGTTGGCTACGATTATGGAAGTGTAATGCATTACTCGGCAAATGCATTCTCGGCCAATGGCCAACCCACCATAAGAACCAAGGTATACAGAAACCAATATTTTTTAGTTTTGCTCACAAACCAACGCTTCGGATTAGATTTATGTAGATTTTTCTCTGAAATTGTAGAATAAAGCAAACATCGGGCAACGAGACGGATTTTCGCAAAAGGATGTGCAGAAACTAAATAACATGTACCAATGCAAACGGAAGAGTCAAAAAAATGCCACCACCACTGACATGATTATGGATATGCTCGGAGTGGGATCGAATTGAAATCGTGTATTCCACATACCAGAGAGAAAGGGAAGAGAAGGGAAGGAAAAATATACACTATTTACATTTTATTCACCAGTTTCCATTTATTATTTGGCTGCATCGTAGACTAAATTCGTAATAGCAACGCATCGAATGAAGAAGTAAGCACGCATGCACATATCCTTCTGATCTGTATTGACAGTAAAAAAATAAATAAATAATTCAAGCTAAAAGCATGAGGTTGTTGCTTTTTTTCTAGTGTTTTGTTGTTGCTGCTGTGGCTGTGGCTGTGGTTGTTGTTGTGGATAGAGGGGTTTTGCATAATTCATCTCACCTCTCGATTCCTTTGAGCAATCGTCTAGAATATCTTCATTTATCGCCAGGTCCAATTCCATACCACGTTCACGGTCGACAATGTCATTTTTCAGTATTCCCATTCGGGCGAGGTAGCACCTAACAAAACACTTGAAATTCGAAATGTACATTTTAATGGATCAACTCAACCTTTTCTAACTCTTCTTCGTCTATCACACTCTCTCGCTCTCTCATTCTGCCTCCTCCAAATGAAAGACATTTCACATTAACTGATGAAATGGTTCCATCAAATTCACTTACTATGGATATCACATCAACTTCATCTGGTAAAGTTCCGGTTAAATTTAGTTCAATTAAGGATTCTGTTAAGTGGATTTGCGTTTTACGGGACATCACAAAGTAATGGTAAGTGGTCACCGACGAGGACGACGGCGGTGACGACGATGGAGTAACACCAGAGTAAATAATAAACAAACTATGTTAAATCACTGTCAATTTCAATTAGCAACTTTTCACTTAGCAGCAAGATGTTTTTTCGGTCGGTTCGCTCGTTCGTTTCTTTAAGCTGGAAAAGCGCATTTTTGTACACTCCTTACCATTTACACACACAATACTGTACCTTTTGGCGTGGGAAAACTTTGATTGCACATTTGCATGGCGTCGCTAGTTTCCTGCAGTTGAATATTGCCCGAATCCCATTGCTTGGTTATTTGGTCGGGCGGTGAATTGGATTCAGTGCCAATATTTGTGCTCCCGTTCAAAACTTCGGCCGCAGTTTCTTCATGGCTCACGTCGATGCAATGTAATAGTTTGGCAAAGATAAACATCCACACATAAATTACTATCACAATTCTACTCGAAAGCTCCATGGTCTGGCTGGCTGACTGCGTCGGTGCTCGTTTTTCAACTAATTTTGTTCATATCCAAACAGGTGGCATTTATATATGAATGTAGCAATATTATAGCGCTTGGAAATTTATAGCTGCCAAAAATGTTTTTGATAGGCAACCATGTGAAAATGATTTGCATTGTTTGCCGAACAATCATTTTCTCGCTCACCGGATGATGCAGATGCACGTCGTGCTCGACAACGACGAAAATCGCTACACATTTCCATAAAATGCATCAGTTAAATGACAATCCATTTCCGATGCTGATGCACAACAACAACAACAACAAACAGTGTACATTTCCATTTTGACACGGCGCTCGCAAACTGACTGAAAATCATTTTTGATTGAAAACCCTCTCATGTCTTGTCAATTCATACACAAACACAAACATAAACAAAGAAAAAAACTGATATTGATTGCGATGTGAAATGGAAACAGTGCCAAATAAACAAACGGGCCCGATATTCATCAGAATGACTCGTGTGTCATCATTTCAACTTGAACTTTGAACATGTTGCATGCCCATTCGATTTGACTTTATGCAAAAATCGTGCAAAAAATAAATTCCGTTTTTTTTTCATTTCGATCTCAATTTTTGACATAAAACAAACAATTTTCGTTTTGCAACCCTTTTATTGGTATTTTGCCAATATTTTTATTATGTGTTGTTTGTTTTTGTACAATTTTCTTTTGGTTTGGAATAGAAACAGCTATTGTATAAATCTAACCCCACTATCCCATCTATGTGTCTATCTACGAAATTTATTGAATAGTCGAAGCGTTCCGGCGATTTTTGTGACCATTTGAGCAAAATTTAGAATCCAATTAGCATTAGGTTGGTGGCATTTTACTGATTACTGGTTCGCATATCAACGATGTTTCGCATCATGACACAGCGCGTCAAGAAATAAGCCTTTTCACATGGATTCGTTTTATCTAATTGACGAAAGAAGCGAAGAATGAAAGCGTTTATTTTATAATTCATGGCACGACCGAAAAGGAATCAACTAAAATCCATATGTAACAAATGAAAAGTGTACCTGTAACCTCCTTTTCGCATTCTTCAAGTGTATCTTCGGAGGTTGCCCATGCCATTTCGTTGGCCTTTTCGCGGTTTAGTTCGTCATCCTTAATGATACCGACGGCATCCAAATAGCATCTTATGTAGCACTGCATTCAATTTAAATGCACAATAAAACTTTCAGTAATTGTTTATAGTTGAAAGCAATCAAAACTTTGGCGAAACTAGTTACCATTGGTGTTTTGTCAGTTTCATCGGGAAAAGCGCCAGTTGAATTCAGCTCATCGAGATATTCTGCATGATGGAATGGAAAATTGAATTGTATAATGCATAAAATTAAACTGCAAATTGAAATATATAATGAAATAAATCACATAAACCCATGCAACTATTTCATTATATATACTATTTCATATACCCATCGAAGTGCGGAATGATTCGTTGCACATTTGCATAATGGCCTCTTGATCCAGTTGGTCGGTGTTGTCGTTAACTGCTTTGGCTGGTGCCGATGCTGGTATTTCTCCTGATGCTGCTGCTGCGACTTGTTTTTCGGCACCAGCTGCTGAACAGCACTGCATGCAGCCCAAGAACAGAATAACCGCCATTGCGATGAACAACTTTGTCGGAGACATTATTTTGAATTCTCTGTGAAAACGGCGCGAGTCACAAAATGTCAACGTTTAATCACTTTTTGATACAGCGTGCACAACTGCGAATAGACTATTGGCATAGTAGCTATCGTCGATGCTCTATTTATACGCTGCATTTCATGCGACACGTTGATTGCATTACAAAAGGCGAGGCACGTGAACTATATCACATTGGATAATAGATAAATGACACAGTGATTGCCTCTAATGTGAATTTCGTGTTTGTGGTACAGATTTAAAAAACAAATCGAATCTAATTCGTTTTTCGAGGAAGTACTTTTTATTTGAACAATTTTGACTCTGTTCAGAACTATCATGTGAATTCATTTGGCATTCATCGAACAACAAGCGGATGCGCGAGCGAACGTTTGGAACATTTCATTGTCAAGTTTATTTCTCTCGTGTTCAGAGCAACCAAATTTGATACGCGTGACTTTGTGGCCACTTTCTCAATCCAATTGATGATGATTCATTCGCATCGAAATGACTGCCTTCCGTGTGATGGGACATACAATTTCAGACTCTTTTTGAACAATACTTTACACGGTCATCACGGTTTGAGGGAAAAGGAAATCATTCGAAAAGGAAAAAATTATGGCTTTTCTTTGTCCCATTTTCATTTTGGATATTTTGTTGCTTCCCCGAGTTCTGCTCACAATTTTTTCTGACCAACTTTACCTTATTAGAAAAAAAATTTCATTTCATGCTCTCCCATTGTACCAAGTTGCACTATGTATCCATCGTACTAAGTTGGTATTAACCACACTTTGAAAGACTGCAACAAACAATTCGATTGGTGTTGCAAAGAACCATTCAATTTATGATGTTGAAAGTGAAAAAATAATAAATTTTCCGCTGTTGTTGTCTATATTTCACTCGAAGTTTGTCTGTGCAGTTTGTGTTGCTTCGATCTTATTCTATACATGGAAAATACAACACGCAATCAATAAACTCAATTTCGTTCGCGATGCTCTTGTTTTCATTGTTGCCAAGGCACTTGGGCTTCTTATGTTTATGGGTCTGCATTCGATCAGTATCCACTTGAATTATATTACTTTCCAATTAAAATTCGCCTTCATTTTGTGGTTCCTGTTACTTCGATAAACATTGTCCGGTACTTAATTGTTGGCTTTAGAACAAACAACTTTTTTTTTGTTGGCAAAGAGAAAACATAACAAGACAAGACTTTTGTTACACGTTCCATTCTAAACAATAAGAGGACGGAAAACCTCCCTCTCCTATTGTTTTCATGACTACCTCATTATTCCATACATAATGCTTCACTCTGCTCTTAGGACTTAATAACGATTTAAGAATACGCATCAAATTTGGAAGAGCCAAAATCGATTTTAATTTTGTTCATTTTCTTTCGATACTCTGTGCCATACTGATCATGCTTAGAACGTTACGTCTCGTTCAGATGTCATTGAGACAAAAAGAGAAAACCATCCGCTACACTTACAAATAACGAATACTCCATTTCCAAACTTCATGAATGGTCATCAATTTTGAAAATTGAATTTTCAATGATTCGCAATTTCGTTATTCTTAGCAACAGCAAAAATGGTGAACGATGATTTCAACTTTTGCTTACGTTAAACAATTTGCTGGTGTTAGTATCAATATTGACAGTTGGTTAGCGTCATGCTTAGAAAGAGAAGCAATGTCCAGTTCTTCATCCTTACTCTTTTCAACCTTGACGAATATCAAATTGCACTCATCTGTGTTTGTGCATAGTGTGTACGATTCTCTACCTCTCTCGCTCCTACAACTGAAATTCTACTGTTCTATTTTCGTTTCAATCGACCACATAGTCGCCTTGCTCATCTTACATCAACGAAAATGTTTTCACTTTGACGAGACATATGATTCGCAAGGCGACGAATTCACCGATTTAACTATATTTTGTTTTCGGATCGCATACATATTGTGGTGGTCTGAAGTCTCGTAGTTTGAAAGGTTCGCTGTACCTTAAATTCAGCGGAGAGCTTATTCTTTTATAACTGGAATTTTACACATAAGAGCTAGAGCTATCAACGCAATGACACGCCAAAGTGGCATTGCGAACGAAAAAAGAGAGCGAATATATACGTATACGTTTGAGAGCTATAACCTTAGAATATACGCATGCAATTTAGGAAAGGAAAGAGGAGAGAAAAAAATCTGCTGAGACTTCACGTTGACCACTTTTTTTCTTCATTATTTCCATTTTTTCTTCGGGTATTGAAATAAAATAGATCAGAGGTGTTTGTTTAAAATACTTTTTAGTGAATTTTCAATTTCGAAAGACAATATTCTAACATTCATGTATTCTGACAAATTTTATTGAAATAAAATTGATTCACTGTATTCTTTTGCTGTCAATATCGTGAAAAAAAATTGTTACTGCCCAAAAACGCTTTTTTCTATTATTTTCAAACCATTTTCTTCTTATTAATTCATTTAGTTTACAAAAAAAAAAATTTCGGCATAGTGAGACACGATCTCGCATTCTCAGATTGCCGGGCTGAAGCTTCATCAACTCAGCCACTTAAATTTGTATATTTTCTTCATGTATTTCATTCGGGCTACTGTGCACGCAGTGATGTGTATATAGTTCGCTAGTCAACGAATTCAATGTTTTCAGTATGTATACGATTCGATTCACATACGTTTTTGAAGGTGGTCTAGAGTTTCGTGGATTGAAAGGAATGTTGTGCCTTAAGGTCAGCGCGTTCTCAACATGTTGGAACGGAGAGAGAGAGAGAAAAGAGAGAGAAATGACGATGATGATGACGATGAAGATGATGATCAAATGAATATCTAATGAAACTCGACATTGACCATCTTTTTTTCGAACAAAAAAAACAGTTTCTTCATTTTTGGTCATTTAAGAGGCAATCTATATACATGCTGCAGCAGAAAGAAAAATTCAGATTTTTAATATATTTATATAATCCTTTTCTCATTCTGGCAGAAATCATAACGAAAAAAAGAATTTCAATTCAAATCGATTAATTGCAAGTATTTGCACTCAAAATGCCTCATGCCTTTTCTGTATTTTTGACAACTCCAAATCAAACGCGCTACCTTTTCATGCATAAATAAAATACAATTTATTCAGTGTTTTTTGTTCTTACATTTATTATTTCGTTTTAAATTAGAAAAACATTCAGACGTTTCTTTTTCTTCGATTTTGAATTTATCAATTTTTTTCTTCTCTACTTCAAACCAAAGAAATCTAACTTGTTTTGTATTTGTCACCATGGTAATAAGACGAACTACAAGCTAATCTTAAATGCTTATTTATTAGCGGCCTCCCCATGCCCGGCGAATCAACTGTGATGCTTTTTCAGCAATAGCAATGATGGGAGCGTTTGTGTTCCCTGATGTGACTTTTGGCATAACTGAAGCGTCGACCACACGTAAACTGCGTACACCTACAAATAGAAATTGGTTTTAGAAATAAGTTCAATCAAAAAATTCGAGAGAGAAAATTGAAAGAAAATGCAATAGAACTCACCGTGCACGCGCAGTTCATGATCGACAACGGCAAGTGGATCTCTCAGCGGGCCCATCTTACACGATCCAGCTTGATGATTTTCGGGGCCAGTGTTTTGCCGTACAGCACACTCCCAGTATTTGTCCGTTCCAAAGTGAATGTGTTCACAACCCGGGATTGGTGTTCGATCCAGTTGCATGCCGTATGCTTTGAGTGCATCAGTTTCGGACATACGAATGGCAAATTTGATTCCATCAATCAAAACACGCAAATCATGCTCTTCGTCCAAGTAGTTTGCAACAATTTTCGGTGGTGCTAACGGATCGCTCGAATGCAGTGTGATGTAACCGCGACTCTTTGGATGCAAAACGGCTGGGAATATTTGAATTGACCGGGAGCCATTCGATAGAAGTTCACCAACTTGTCCGGTTTTGGCGCAACTGGCCAAAAATCCACCAAAGTAGAATTGGATGTCTGGCACATTTGGTCGCTCGGAGAATTTACTCGAGATTTTACCGGTTACGGCCGATATTCCAGTGCCCGACATCAAACCATCGCGGAACAATAAATCTATCGATGAAAATTTGGAATGAATTAGTTTGATGCATATAAATGAACATATTTCCGCACTTACATTCCATGGCAGTGGCCCAGTTCAAAGGCGATGTGTCTGTGTCGTTGATGAAAAAGTTTGTGAAGAACGCAACGTGATTGTGAAGATTCTTTCCAACGCCGGGCAAATCAACAATTGGACGAATGCCAACCTGATTTTTGAAGAAATATTCGATTAATTCAGAATTTTCTCATTTAATTATCTCTTCACATTTTCTTACTCTTGTCAATTCTTCCTTCGGTCCCACACCTGACAGCATCAAGACTTGCGGTGAATTCACAGCTCCTCCGGCAACAATCACCTCCTTTTTCGCCAAAATTTTCATTGTGTGACCCAGAGCGTCAACTGCTTCAACGCCTTGTGCATTCTTCGATTTTGGATGAATCAACACTTTGGTGACCGTTGTATTGAGCATCACATGCAAATTTGGTCGATCAAGTACAGGCCGAATGAATGCACGCGATGAACTCATTCGGATTCCGTTTTTTGCCGTCATTTGGGCAATCATGAAACCGGTCGAATTGGCACCATTCAAATCTTGAATGTCAAGCCCTATGAAAGAAATGGGTTTTAGAAACAGATTCAGAAATTGAAAAATAAAAATGTGAAAAAATCCAATCAAACTCACCCAATTCAGTGGCAGCTCGAAGAATGGCATACGACAATGGTGGATGGTATGGGAACTTTGAAACGGGTAGCAAACCACCGGTGCGATGATATTGTGGATCGACTTCATTGATTTGCAAATTATCTTCCGATTTCAAAAAGTATGGCAAAATGTCGTCATATCCCCAGCCTGGATTGCCCATTGCTTCCCAATCGTCGTAGTCTTCTTTGTTGCCGCGAATGTACTGAAATCAAAGGGAGACGACATTAAAAATTAACACATTCAATCAAAATATGCACAAAAATTGTCTTAAAATGAAAAATTCATTCATTTACTGAGCAGCATAAGCCATTTAGCCCAAAAAAAATCCACTTTATTATGGGTATACCCACCATCATTCCGTTCAAGACGCTGGTACCTCCTAGTACCTTGCCACGCGGCCAAAAGCATCGTTGTTCGGGTGACGAAAGACATGCCTTCTTTTCCGGCTCCGTATTGTACTTCCAATCGATATCACTTCCGATGAAATTGAAAAACATCGACGGAATTTGCGTTCCCAGCGGTTCATCGCCTCCTGCGTACAGCGAATGGCAAACGGAAAGAAAAGATGCAAACGATGTGATTAAAAAACATAAAATGAAATCATTTCACTTCGATCAGCCCAGAAGAAATCCAAACATGATTCAACTAATTTAGTAAATAGTCGAAATAATAAGCGGTTTCGGGATTAGGAGAGTTCTCCATCAATTTGTTTTACAACGTGCGCGCAAACATAGTCTCTCACACACACACACACAAATACAAGACGGTGGCGAGAGATTCGCGTTTTACGAAACTGAAATATGCCGCCGGTAAAACATTTGCCTCATTGTTCGTGCAGAAGTTTGTTTACATTGTAATTATATTGAGAGAGGGAGGGAGCGAGAGAGAGCCAGTTTGCGCAGAGAGCAATTAAAAGAGATTTCGGTTGTTCCGCCAATACTTTAATTGCCAATTGCATTATGGTCAAAATAATAGAACAGCGATTACATATTTGAATCGCTTTATTACTAGCTCTTTACTTCGTTCATTGTGCAATTAGCAAAAAATGCATTTTCGATGTTGTACGCTATGCAATCGGAACCGCTGTGCGCTCAATTTGTGTACATTGAAGTTTTAAAAAAATGCACACTGCATGAAGTAATTGATTTCGACAATTTGATAAATTTCATCTGCAGGCGCTTTGAAGGCGGAATGAATGGCTTATCTAGATGACCTTCGCAGAAGAAAAAAACCAGATTTAACGTAAACTGCTGGTTCATTCCAGGAAAACAGCAACAGCAGCAGCAGCAAAAAACATCCATAAAGCTTCCATTTAAAAATAAATTGAATACGAAAATGAAAAACGGCAAACAGTTATTGAATTATTGAGTTGAATTGAATTAGTTGAAATTAGGTTTTTGCTGATGGTTTTTGTAGGATTATGCTTCCATCAATTTGCCATCAGCGTTGTCAGTGCAGGCAAATTCGCTATCATCGAGCAACATTTAATGTTCTGTGTAAATTATGTCGCACGGATTGAGCTCTCTCTCTCTCGCTCTGTGTCGTTGAAAGGGGATAAATGAAAGATTTATTGATTTAACCATCGTCAGTAGCATTCAATCTATCAGCCATTTGGATTACGCGAGCTAAAAACCACCGTATCGCCCACACTCTTAGTGTGTGCGCTGCGCGCGAAATTCAATTTCCCCATGGCTGTCGACGTACGTAAAAATTAATCTACTTGTAAAATACATGTCTAATTAATTGTGTGCTCTTTTCGTTCACAACGCGAAACTGTTATACAATTTTCAAAGCCAAAAACGCAATTGGATATAATTAATGAGACTGGTCCGACGCGTGTGTGTTTATGTGAGAGAAAGAGTATGCCGTGCGGCGATGAGTATGTTTGCTTGCTCGCGCGTGCTTCATTGTTTTGGCCAATTGCTTACATTCTCTTCTCTTATTTTGACAATGCACCAAATGGAAATGTTTCGTTGTGGTAACGACGGCGACGGCAAAACAATGATAATGTTTTATAATCGCTTATCTCAACGAGATGCCAAATATTTTTTGATTGAGTCGTTTAACATGATTTACACCCGAAACGAGTTGATTAATTGATGCCATCAAATCGGTCTGGTCTCGATGGGGTTCTCGGCACCCGATTCATTCAACCGCGCTGGTTCCACAATCCATTCAATCGATCCAGATTTTCAATGCAATTTTAACACGCCCCACACAAAGTTTTCTACAGCACGACGAGCAAAACTTTCATTGTAATTATACTTTGGGGCACGGTTCATTAGGCGACCGCAACATCTCCAGACATCGAAGATTAGATGTGTTTGCGAGATATATTCACTTTCAATAAAATTCAATGGTTTGAATCATTGAACCCATTGAGTCTCTCGCAAGCTTAACTTGGGGTTTTTGAATCGCAATTTCGAATTCAGATTTGGTTTCTTTTTTTCCATCGTCATCATCCTCATCAACCGAAATAGTTTCAAATAGCAGAAGGTCTTGTTCTCGATTGCATTAAACAAACGAACGAAAGAAACGAAAAATCTATGGTAGGTGAACCGTGAAATGAACCATGGCCTGGAACCGCAATAATGCGTAACCAATAAGCGTAACCAATAAATAGCAATAAATTTACTAATAAATGTCTCTGTGATTCAATGGTTTATCGTTGGATTTGCGTGTTATCTGCTGCCAAATGAATTTTTGCCAAGACACTTTTCATGTTAACATTATCAACGTGCAACGATCAATGTCGCCAACGTTTAAACGTGACAATATCATTCGTGAGCGATGCGGGTTTTCTCTCTCTCTCTCTTTTTTTTCTCTATCTTTTGCTCGATGTGTGTGTCTATCGCTTTTTTTCAAGACATTATGCATGACATCAATGTGCGCAGAACATAGAAAATTACAAGCAACTGCATTTCTGCACGATATGCCAATTTCGGATGATGACTCGGATGAAAATCGAATCGGATGGAAATAAATTACACCGTTTGACAGAGATTTGTGCACGAAGATTAGCGCAAACCATTTTTGTGTAAAGTACGATAGTATTCAGTGGGATTCGTCAAGAATATTTTGCAATTTTCGAAGTGGGTTTCACTTGAGTTAAAACAAAACATTCCGAGGTGTTGCCAAAACTATTTTGAAATTTGGGGGAAAGTGTCACTAGTTTTGTTGTTTGTGTCACACCGAAAAAAATAAATCTCTAGAACATCTTTTTGTGTGCTGCGTGTCGAAAATCCAATTTTGCTGTTGGCACTTTGACTCGACGTGTTTTTCGATTTGTGATGAATTGAAAAAGTTCTAGACACGATAATTGTGTAGTTTTTGTTCTTGTTTGTGGAATACAAACCTGCTTCGATAAGTAAAACTCGCCAATGTGGTACCTCGGATAATCTGGACGCAACTACTGAACCACCTGACCCACCGCCAATCACAACGAAATCGTAGTCATTGTCCGGAATGGATCGAGTCTATGGACACAGGAAAAGAAATGTGATTAAAACTTTGTGAGCCGTTTATCGTAGAAACTTGTTATAGTTGATTTATTATTTATTGTTCCACTTACTTTGGGCCGATTGCATGGATCCTCCAAGTCGCACTGTGACCGTAAAAATACTTCTAGCAAACCCATAAATAGCATAAACTGACCACCGCCACAAGTTGAGGCTAGTGTCGGGCCAATCGGCACTCCTACTGGACAATCACAAAGCGCCATATCTGGAGATAGAGATAGAACAAAATTATCGACATTAGTCATAAATCTTTCGTATAAACGTAGAGAAAAATAATTCTAGGCAAAAAAAGTGTAGGAAAAAAAAATTCGTATTTCTCTGACCATACAATTTCAAAGTTTAGTAAACGTTCATACTGATTTGCATACGGAACGTCATAAACAGCTTCTTTCCAACGAAAAAATTAATAAATCGCCATGTCGCCGCTTTGATCGTTAAAGAAAATTTTTTTTTGCCGATTTTGGTGTTTTTTATGAGCGTTCATTTTTTGAATTATTAGTTCATCGAACTCTTTAAGAAGTGCTGCGGCAACCACTAAGTGCTTTTATGGGCGCAAATTGCTTGATCAACATTTTCTGTGCCATGTTTTTGATTGAATTTTCTAAACTCAAACAACGGATGGATTGAAACGTATATTGTTTACCATCGTCAATTTGTTCGCTGTAATAACAATTTGATTTGAATTGTGAGCCTGATTCCAACAACGAACAAAAAAAATAGCTTCAACAGATGTGTAAACATTTTTTTTGATTCAGATCCAAACGGCGCACGATTATGAATAGCGTTGTTTGAAAAAAGACTCTTTTTCCTTCTTATCTGAACGAGTATGCAAATTCGTTTCGTGAAATAGAAAATGAGCGAAAAAAAGTTCTTCGTAGCGTCATCACATTTTTTTTTCTCTTCTCTTTCTTCGCTGCTGCCTCAGTGCTGTGTGGCGCGCATATAGAGTTGACACAATCGATTTGAGATTGCAATGGGCTGTCGTCGTGATGTATTCGACTTGCATTTTAAATAGGAACATCTTCTTAAACTTATTTTCAGCAGCAATAGGTACACAATTATGTGGCTTTATGACTTTATAATCCGAATCAAGTTATAAAACATCGGCAAGCACGAAGCGAAAGAAGAAGAAGAAGAAAGAAACAATCCAACCTCAGCTGCACGGATGTGATAAGGAAATATGTCTGAGCTGTTGCTGTTGTGTGCGGTCAAGAAGTTATTTCTCACTCTCCCTCTCTCTCTCTTAACCGTTGGCTCAAGATGTGTTTCTTTTCTGCTGCTATTTCAATTTGGTAATTCAACTTTTCCACAATTTACCATTGCGCATACCGTGTGCGCGGCTGGCGAGTGGCTGAACGGCACACAAAGTTCGCTACCATAAATTAAAATGTCATTTCAAACTGAAATTCACGCCGTTATTATGTGAAATTGATGAGGCGCACACGATAAGGACCCATTTATAAAATGGTGAGTGTTTAGCCGGCGCATATGCCACAACGAAGCTTCGTTAAATTCAACGATTTTACACAATCTCAATCGCATCTATTCTATTATGTATTTATCAATGCGAGATTATCTATGCCGCATCGAATCACACAATACACAGTGCAGGCAAAAACGGCAACGACTTTTCTCTGACTTTCACGATTCCACATGAGGAAAATGGCTTCGAATGTCGTGGTTTTTGTTGTAACGGGGAGCCCAAAAGCAATCGAAATTGCCTAAATCGTTTGCACAAATGAAATAAATTAAATAAGTACACGTTTGAAACCACACAACGAACAGAGACTTCAGCAAACGACAACAACGACCACACCATTGGCAGCGATGATGAAGCGTTCTGACGTTGAAACCTCAACTATGCACAAACCCGATGAAGTCGAATCAAAATTGAAATAAGCGAAAAATATTGAAAATATCTTCATCACTAATGCATCGTTTGTAATCGTATGATTAGCATCATCAGTAAATACCATCCCAAACACGATGTTACGTCGCCGAGAAGCAAAAGAGAAAAAAAAATATAGAAAACAAAACAGTCGTGTGTACCGTAAAACAAAAAATCGCGAATCAAGCGAATAACATGCCAAATCTACAGATAATTCACTTGGGCATAACATGCAAAACATGGGGAAAAACGAGCAACAGAAGTGTAGCGTTTATATGCAAGCGGTGAATGAAAAACCCAAAACCGACATAGATCCGCGGAAAAAACAACAAGGTGAAATTGAAACAAAACAATTATACCAACGGATTGGATTGTTGATGTCGCAATGAACGCGCGCGTATAGCGCATGCATGCTTTCAGCAAACTACCATATCAAAAACAATCGCGGTTAGTCGGTCTCCATTGATGCAAATTCAAACATAACTAGCTTAGACAATCGCGTAAACAAACGAAGCACTCAGCAGGTATAAAAACCGACGAACAATCTCAACGAACACATGGATTTTTTTTACAGACAAAAATCGTGTGTGTGTTTTTTTTTGCGTTGTCTCTAGCATCGCGTCCCGTCCCGTTGTTCAACCAGTTTTTCGTATGGATCGTGGCTGTTGCTTTTCACTTTCTGCTCGCTTCTCACTTTTTTAGGGGGAATTTGACTATAAACACAATGTCGGTAAACAATTCAGCCGGCTTCGGCTCGCTAACGAACGATTCAATTCAGAGCGGCGAGAGGAAAAACTAATAAATTTGCCATATTTTTCCACTGTCTCATTACTTTGTGTGTACGTTTTTTCGCTTACTGATGACTTTTTTTCTGTCGCTCGCAAACAACGTCGTGTCTTTCTTCGACGAGCTGTTGTTAAAACTTCGACACGCACAACAATAGCCAACTCAATTTCATTTTACCCAAAGACACACAATTTACTGCACGATGTGTGTGTTTTACTTTTACTCAATGCATTCCTTTTGCTTTTTTGTCGTCTCGACATGATCCAAATCCTCTTGAAATTAAATATTGCCATAATTTTTGCCACTCGTAATAATGAAATGATAAATATTGTGTTAAAATGTAATGAAGAAATATTCTTTTTGGCGATGTAAATTCGGCGAAAAGACACTCGATACTGATGCGTCAACAACGCAAAATCAATGCTGTCGCTGTCGAGCCACTTTTGTTTACACTAAATTTTGGATTGTGTTTGTACAGTTTGTTGCAGCCAAAAAGAAAGAGAAGAGTCAAGTGTTTGCTATATCTTTCTCCTTTTATCCAGTTCAAAATCTGGTTGCAATCGACGTTTGCATGATTGGATATTTTTCATCTCACTCTGGTTCGTGATGATTGTTGACATTTTCAGCACGCATTCATTTTTAGCTTATCGTAATGTCGTCTCACTCATTTTGTACTGACGCATTCGGCCATAGAGTACAGTCTGTTTGCTTCGCTCACATTTACATAATGGCTCTTGTCATTCTTGTGGTCGACACAATTTTTCACTTTGATGCGACATACGATTCGCTAGGCGACGAATTCACTGACTTTAGTATATTTTGATTTCGATTCGTATACTTATTGAGGTGGCCGGTGATCTCATAGATTGAAAGGTATGCTGTGCCTTAAGTTCGGCGGAGAGCAGATTAAATGGCCTTAAGCGCCTTGTGCGGAAAAAAATTGTGCTGATAAAGCGAGAGAGCGGAATAAGATCTCAGTTATCCTTTGGCGTTCGTTAATTTCGAACGATACGAATTGTCGTTAAAGAGCAGGAAAGGGAAAAGGGAAAAGAAACGATTCTATGAGATCAGCAGTGTGGCCACTTTTTTCAGGAAATTAAATCTGTCTTTTTCTCTGAAAATGATTCTGCCTTCAATGTGATATTTTCTTTCTAGTTGAAACGTAAAAGAGTCAACATTGAAATGAAATGAAAAATATTGTGTTAAAATGTGATGTGTAGAAATGAAGAAATATTTTTTTGGCGATGTGAATTCGGCGAAAAGACACTCGATACTGATGCGTCAACAACGCAAAATCAATGCTGTCGCTGTCGAACCACTTTCATTTACATTGAATTTTGGATTGTGTTTGTACAGTTTGTTGCAGCCAAAAAGAGAGAGAAGAGTCAAGTGGTCGCAATATCTTTCTTATTTCATCCTGTTCAAACACAGATTGCAATCGACGTTTGCATGATTGGATATTTTCCATCTCATTCTGTCTCGTGATGATTGTTGACATTTTCAGCACGCATTCATTTTTAGCTGATCGTAATGTCGTCTCACTCATTTTGTACCGACGCAAATGGCTATAGACTATAGAGTCTGTAGTACAGTCTGTTTGTCTCACTCATATTTACATAATGGCTCTTGTCATTCTTGTGGTCGAATAACGACTGCGCAACGTTCGCGAATTAAGAAGGGTACCGCCGAAAAAACAAAACGAATCGTCGTTTAAGAGCAGAAAAGGGAAAAGGAACAATTCTATGGGATCAGCAGTTTGGCCACTTTTTTTTCAGGAAATTCGATCTATCTTTTTCTTTGAAAATGATTCTTTTTTTAATGTGATATTTTCTTCCTAGTTAAGAGTCAACATCGAAATGAAATGAAATGATTTAAATGATCGTGATTAATTAAAAGCAATCATGTTTTTCATTGCATTATGATTGGTCACGCGTTTGAACTCAAGCCACTTGCAATAATATTGGCGTGCAATATTCTTGCCTCGTCTCAATGGCTTCGACCTTTTTGAAAAATCAGTATTTATTCTTGTGAGTGTCGATTGCAGCGATTTGCTTGTGCATTGCTTGAATTCGTTCATTGTGCGTTAAAACAATAATTTGAATGAAAGTGGTGCCTTAACGATTGCATTTTCAAGCGCATTACAAATAGAAAGCAATTTCTCTGAAACTTGTGAACTCTCAACTATAACTTGTGGAACAAAAAGTAGTAGAAGTTGAATATTGCATTTGCAATTGGCGTTAAGACAAAACGAATAGATGGTATAAGTGAAGGGCAGCAGCAGCAACTCCAAACAGAAATGAAAATACCAAAATCAATTTAGCTTGGAAAGCACTTAAAAACAGTGCTTAACAAAAGTACCGCTTGTTCGCGAGCGCTCATTTCCTTTCTCTTTGCATCTACATATCCCTAGAAATGGGCTTTGTTGTCATTTTATTTGGATTGTGTGTGAGCGTTTGTGTTTTTTCTTCTGTCTTCCAACCTTTTTTCTATTTGTGAATGCACAAAATGATTTTTCTGTTTAAGCATTATTG